ATCGTTTCTTTCTCCCAAGCAGTGGTGGCTTTAGACTTTTTCGTTGTCAGTCATTTTGACGGACAGGATTGTAACATTTCCGTCATAATTAGTGGTGCACGATAACTATCGACCGAGAATTATCCATCCGATATTAGGAATTATGACGTCATCCCGATAAACCCGATAAAAATATTAATAGCCCCGATAATATACAATATATTTTTTGGGTTAAAAAAAAGAAAAAATACTGCGGTGTGGGTGGATTGGGATGAGGGGCGCTTGTTTTTTACTCGGCTCCTCCCGTTTTGCCAGTACTGTGGTATAATTAGTGGTTTAGGAAGAGGGGAGTTTTTCACAAATCCAGCGCTCCCTAACTCATGCCTGGCTGTGACGTAAATGGTGTGCGGCCGTGAAGCCAGGACAGTAAACAAACATGTCGTCGGTAGTATGGGACTATTTCAAAGTTTCAGAGTTAGATAGTTCGCTTGCTATTTTTATTAACAAATGCAATGCAGAAGTTCCACGAGGAGGGAAAAAGGCAACGAGCTATAATACTTCCAACCTGATTAGTCACCTGAAACATCGCCATCGATACGATGGTGTGTTAAAAGCGTACGAAGACGCCTGCGCTGCTAAACTAGCGGCGAATCCAAAGCCAGCTGCAAAGGCACCGGGGCTTTACCTATCGACGAGGCTTTTGAAAAAGGGTCTTGTCATTGACTGATTGACTCAATTATATTTATTAGGGAAAATAAATATGGTCACTTTGAAGAGTCAAAACTGTTCTTGGCTTTGTTTTGTTCATAGTAGTAATGCTCATGTCATTTGCTCACTACTAGTCTTTTTTTTACCACCAGGTGTGCAAAAACTACAGGTACATTTAATATATATATATATATATATTATATTATTATCGGTTATCGGTATCGGTCTTGAGAAGCAGGAAGTTATCGGTATCGGTTTCAAAAAACCAATATCGTGCATCCCTAGTTAAAGACATTGACGGTATGTTTAAAGAAATGGCTTCCCTACCGTCGGCCTCGGCGGCGTGCGTTCCTACGTACGGGGGAGCTCTCCGGCGTGATGTAGCGCAAAGCCTCCTCGTCCTGCCTCTGGATGCGGGAGTTTGGCACCCAGGTGAGAATCAGGGTGGTGCCCAGGCTCTCGTCCTTCTCCGTGTGCACGCACAGGTAGCCTGCAGGGGGCAACAGGAGTTCAGGTAGGAACAACGATGTTTGGAAAAAGTCAGGTAGCATATGAGGAAATGCCAAAAGTATCTGGCAGCTGCAGCCCAAAGACAAACAAGAGAAGATAAACACACAAAGGGGTGACGACACACCCTGAGAGGGGAGTAACAACCTTACACTCACACACCAAACTGTACATGAGATAAGAGATGGAGAAAAAGCTGTGAGCGGTTATACCAGAGCAAGTTTCAAAAAGTAAACCAGCAACACAGGCCACTGATGCTCATAAACACAAGGATAGAATCACACATCCTTAATTTTAAAAAGAAAATCTATTTTAGTGTGTTTAGACAGTAGAGTCAGGAAAAATAGGTAGAATATATTATTGTATTGAATATATTAAAACCCTATAAAATGCAGTCAGCAGGGTAGACAGCCGTACATATGACACGTGATTCAGATTTATTTTAAATCTTATCTTAGAAAGCTTCCCTGTTTTTGGATCCTGTTGTATTTTTGACTTTTTATTTTAATTGTCCAGAATATTTGATATTGTTTAGTTTATATTTGATATATTTTTTTCATTTAATTTGTAATCGTTGATTCACTTTTCCACTTCTATCCATCTATCTATCCATCTATCTACCCATCTATCCATATATCTACCCATCTATCCATCTATCTATCTATCTACCCATCTATCTATCCATCCATATATCCATATATCTATCCATATATCTACCCATCTATCTATCCATCTATCTATCCATCTATCTACCCATCTATCCATCTATCTATCCATCTATCTACCCATCTATCTATCCATCTATCCATCTATCCACCCATCTATCTATCTATCCATCTATCCATCTATCTACCTATCCATCAATCTATCTCACCTGGGTGGTGCTCTGCCAGGCCGGGCAGGGGCTCTGCAGGGTGCACGCAAACATTATTTTTGGAGAAGATGATCTCGCCGTCCAGGCCCGAGCGCAGTGATGAGCCTCCGGGGTTAAAGGTCAGGAGGTCGGAGGCCTTGGAGGAGGCACGCCGCAGGAGCCGACCCAGAGACATCTCCTCAGGCACCGGGACACTGGGCCCATCCTCTGGATATTTGGGAGCAGAAAAGGGAGATTGAGGCAGGAGGGGAGGTCAGAACAGGCATCTGATGTTAAAAAGGGAGGGAAGGCCAAGGGAGGGGGACATGAAAGAAGTAAAGGAAGCAGGTAGATAATACTTTGTGACATTGTGACACAGCTTGGCTCTACAGGAGAGCTCACTTCCTCACCTACACCTCACCTGCTCTGTCACATGTGTCCCTGTATTTACTGCAGTGTCCTCTCTGCAGCGTTAAACCCCCCCTCCCCTTTCCCTCCCTCCCCACCTCCCCTCTGCACTTGTTCAGCATTTTCCTTTGCCACATTTTCTTTGCCTATGGCCTCGACCTATTAACAAATTCATAGGTTCTGTGTGGATACTGTACTAGTGTGTACCCAAACGCGTCCCACCTTTTGTAAACAACCCACACACCTTCCTGTGCGTACACTACACACACAAAGACAAGTGCAAACACACTTCACTCCATCCGTGTGAAATTTGTAGAAGCAGATAACAGTAGCCGACAGATGTCATTAACAGAAACACTGAACTGCGATCGGCATGGCACCACGCCGGTGTTCAGCTTGTCTGCTTCAGAGAGAAAGTATTGTGTGATGAGACAAACTTCAAGTAAATCAAAAAGAAACACAGCTCTTCTGAAGTTGCAGTAGGTGTTGTTAGGGTCTTTTCCCTTTGAAAAGACTTAAAGAGAATATTACTTTAGAGACTCAAAGCTGTTAAAGCTAATAAAGTCAAACGTCTTTAAGCTCCTGGTCGTTCACTTCACATATTTACTCTTATCTCTGACATGTGTCTCTATCTTTTGACCCACTTCATGAGTGTAACCCTTTATATATACAGTCTATGGTGTAACCTTGTTTTTTTTGTTGGCTGAACATTGACATGTACTCCCCACTCCATTGAAGGAATGTTCCCTCCCTTTTCCTCAGAGGGCATGTTTACCTCGGCCTGATTGAGCAAGCACCCCACTTCCTGATGCCAGGCCCCAGACAGGAAGTCTGCTGGCACGAAATCCAGGCCTGACCTCGGAGAGGGGGCTTACTGTAGGCCATCATTTGGTTTACATTAAAAAAAAAAGGTGTGGGGTGTCAGATTGTGGGTGTTTTAACTATTATATCATCAAAAAAAAAAAAAGGGGGGTTGAAGTTTTTTTGTAGATAATAACCTTGAGCTCCTTAGAGGATTCAAATCACAATGTCTGAGAGCCCAAGGTTATGTCTTCATTTCAAAAATCTATATATTCAATTTAAGATAATATGAGGCTGGGCAACATGGCCACATCTTCTTTCCCGATTTTCATATTTATATATTGTCTTATCATATCTTGATGACGATTCCACGATATACCAAGGGCTGTGTGCCAACTGCTTCACATGACACTATAATAATCCACTTGTAAATAAGCAGGAATTAACATACACACCGTCCTCATATACTCTGACTCTGCATTCCTGCATCATGACACTGAAAAATAACGCTGAACCTAATGACAGGCTGTGATCTTACACATGACACACAGCTGTTTCCAGTAGCTTCATAACAGCAAGAACACACTGTATTAGGGCTGAACGATTAATCGATTTTAAATGGAAATCGCAATTTGAAATGATGCAATTATCAAATCGCAAAGCCTGCAATGTTTTGTTGTTTTAAAAAAAAAAAAGTTTTTTAAATTTTTAAATTTTTACAATAAACTTCCGTTGGGTCGCTTAAAAACAAATATCGCAAATCAAATCGCAATCGCAATATGTGTCAGAAAAATCGCAATTACATTATTTCCCCAAATCGTGCAGCCCTACACTGTATTCACTGCTTGGCTGCTATGCAGTGGGTATTTTGGTCCGTATGTGATTACAGAGCCACTCAGGTCAGTTTGATAGGGCCAGGTCTGTCGGGTCTCACACTCCTCTCTTCTCCCTTCAACTTTTATGCTGTCACCACCTCAGTGAGCTCACAGACAGCCTCTCCTTGCTGACCTTTCACTATTTCATTAAATGAATAACAAGGTAAGGACACCCTAAAGTTTAGTCTAACTCTGGTTTGCGATATTTCACTTTTCAGTTCGCCTGACTAAAAAGTTTGAACAAGAACTTGAAACGTACACCATGGAAGTTTAGCTGTGAGTATAGGCTGCCAGGCTCTCAGCTTCTCACATCTGGGCTACATTAATTAAGTTGTCACGCTGACATTTGAATAGAGGACCTAATGCTGAAATCCCTTTACATCTGCGCTGTATACCAACGGGCCTGGGGCAGCTGAAAGGAGACCAGCCCCAAATCCTGACAAACAAGGCTCTTGTGAACTCTGCAAAGGCTGGGTAAGCTATGAGGAAACTTGGTAAGGAGTGGACACAAACTATATTTATTTGAGAGGTGTCCCACTTAGGACAATGATCGGCAGATTTGAAGGAGTCCTTATATTAAGTGTATGTCCATGGTACAAAGAAAGGAAAAGAATGTCAATAAATGGATATATTCAAAACCCAATATCCACAAAAAACGTACAAGTTCTAAGTGTGTTTTAAACTGGATTTGACTAAAGCGGTTTAAGATCATTTCCACACCTCTTTTACAAATATAGCTTAAAGTATTAAAACACCCTACACAACATTGCAAGTCAATGCAAAAACACCCCAACTGAAAAAAGTATAAGCATCAAAATATACTTGAAGTGCCAGAAGTAAAAGGACTCATTCTGCAGATTGTCCCATTCTCAAATAATATATGTTTTGATTATAATTATTTATGCTTTAATGTGTGATCAAATCTGGTAAAGGTGTATTCCTTTGTATACTGCAGGGTAGCTTGTGGATTTACTCCAGGTGTAACTAAAATCTTATTAAGGTGTTGATTATATTTTACATCATCTAATCCAAACCTGCAAAGTAACGAAAGGTATTAAATAAATGTAATGGAGTAAAAGTACACGATTTACCTCTGAATTGTAGTGGGTGGAAGCACCAGGTAGCAATAATTTGAATTACCTCAACATTGTAGTAATTGAGTAAATCTACTCAAGTCAATGCAAAACACCCCAATTGACAGCCTTACAAATCCACATAAAATAAAGCTGGATAACCTCATTAATTGAAACTATTTAACATAGTATTTATTTAAAAAATATGTTGTATTGAGCTGTATTGTACAGGGGTGTTGAGTTTACATTTAACTTTCAGTGCATAGGGTGAATTTAGATTCATGGTGTTACTGCTCCTATAATAAACAGGCAGGTTGATGGCCTCTCCATGTCTGGGGGACATGCCTCAGTGTGGAGACAGGGTGTGAGACGGGCTGTGGAGACGGGCTGTGCAGCAGAGGCGTGCCATGATGATGGCTCCATCAGCTATCACTACACTGACAGAAAGCATCCGCCTGACAGCAGTGGAGGTTGGGACAAGGCTTTTGCCACCACATCACTATTTACACACTGCCCCACACTCAGATACATGTGTGTATTTGTCCCGAGAAGCTATCTGTACCATCTTGAGCATAAATATTTTAGTTTAGCTGCCTAGACCACGGCCGAAATCCTTTGCTCGTTGCATTTCACCCCAGGTTTACAGGCTACTTTTAAGTTTGTTCAAGCTAGCAGCAGCGAAATACAACGGTGTTACATTATTTGCTCCAAACAAATAAATGTGTCATTTATTGGATGTTGTCATACACCTGTTTCTAACAGGAGACATGAATGAGAAGCAGAAAGGGGGCCAAGCGGCTCTCACCTTCAGCCCTTCTGAAGTCTATAGCCCGCCTCGGACATCCATCTCACCGGGCAGCCGAGCAGCATGTACCGGCGTCGTTTCGCCGCCTTTTTCCGGGATTCAGCCCAGCTGTTACGGAGTCTAGTCTTGTTTGTATCCCTGTGTTTTCCGACAGTGACACCACACGTTTGACTGCTAAGCTTTCGACAGCAAAAATAACACTTCCGGTTTTGACTTTCAAAGTAAAACCTTCTTTAACGCACCCTGTGTTGGCGCTTTAAGGAAATGTATGACGCTTTAATTTGAAATGTAATTCCTTTTATTACCTGGTCATGAATGTCTAACTTGACTGAACAGCTTCAGACCAATCCCCCCAAATCTGCTGCTTCCGGAATGATGAAAGGATTTTCCAATCACACAAACCAGGAGTTTTAGATTTGGTATTGAAAACATTGTGGGACAGCTGACTGCATTTTAAAACATAAAGACAATATATATTTTTTCAAAACTATAGTCATCATCTAACCTATCCTACCTTAAAAATCGTATCCTCTTTCTCACAAGTGACGTTTTAAAGGTCACTGCTAAAGCTTGCATGATGCAGTCCATCATCAGGACCAGAGCTGGAGTCAGAGCATCTCTCACACCGCTGTTGGAGAGATTACCTTTCCCTTAAAAAAACTGTTCTAGTTCAGGCAATACATCATTTATTTTCTTGCTAAATTAATAATAAGCGATGTACTGCCTCTGACATAGAATTTCGTTTTTAGTTTCGGATTTGTTGTAGATTCGGCTTGGAGAATAATATATGAAATTCCCCAATTAAAATGTACAATAAACAATTTATATATTTATTTAACACATGATCCTGTACAATGATGGTGGAGTATTCACAATAAAAACACTATGTTATATCTGAAGATAGAACAGCAGCAGTGTTCTTGTAAACAACCATTTATTCTAATTACATTTGTAATGCTTTTTTGATGAGCGCTCAAATGCAGTGATGTGGGAAATTCAAATTCACCTTGACTCATTTTTATGTATCTGCATTATTAGTAACAAAGGTTTACAAAACTGATGTAAAACATACAGGTATATACAGGTAAAAAAAAGCCATTAAAGAATTAAAAAATATATCTATTTACAATACATCAAATCATCAGCAGCAAATGTAGGCTTTCAAGAAAACATAAAATGTCAAAATGATAGCTCCCTTTGATTGATGTCATCAATTTTTTTTTTAAACTCCTCCTTACAAAGCAGTTATTGGATAAAGAGGTAGCATAGCGTAAGGTGCATCGCCAGGTCTGGGATGGTTGGGACAATGCAAAAAAGCCAAGCTCCCTATGGTTCTTGGGTAATAGAGTTCAGTGTATCAGAGAGCCCATTGGACTCTAAACACCGTTGACATGGGCAAGGCCAGGTTGGTCACTGTTAGAACCTGCGGGAAGTGAAATAAAAAACATAGCTTTATTTGGTAAAAATACATTAGGCAATAGGCATAATGAGTAAATAGGGAGGAATCACAGATAATTTACCTTGGTGTCACTGCGGTACATGAAATCCCTGACTTGTTCCCCATTGGCTAACACGTATAGGGGTGGGGAGGGAACCCCGAAAACCTGCAGCCCTCCAAGAACCAGACCATCCAGAGCCCCATTAAGCCTGAGGGGATCACTCACCACCTGACACTGAAGACATTAAGGGATCATTTATTTTGTAGTTTTAGTCTAAGTATATTAGATCAAAGTAATGTCAAGAATTGAGTTGAGTCCCTTCAGTAAAGACAATTTTGTGTCAAGTAGTGGTGCAGTAAAATGCTAACTATTTGCTCATCAGCTTTCCCAATGCAAATACCACTCGTTCCTCTCCTACCTGTCCAGCCATGAAGATAACGTAACAATAATTTCCCGTTTCAAAGGTGTCGAGACTGTCCCCGTCATCCCAGAACAAGTCTCCCCATGCCCAACCTCCTGCTGATAGCGCCACCGTCAGGAAGAAAGGGTTTCTGCGAGAGACTGCCGTTGTCAAAGCAGGCTCCTTCACAACAAAAGGCAGAGCAAAGAAAACATTAAAGATAGTACAAACAAACAAAATGTGCTGTTCTTTCCAAAGTGTTTAAGCTAGTTTTCAGCTTTGGGAAGTCAGTCAGAACCCTATGGTCAGAACACATGACAGTTATAGTTGCCATTTGATCATAGGCGCCATGTCACAGCCTAAAGTCTAAGGTGACTTGTTTGAATACAGGGGTCACAATTGTCTTTACAAAAATGAAAATGTTCAGTGATAAAACCTCTTATTTTATGTTACACAAGCCTCAAACTGTATTCTGCTAAAGAGAAGGGCAATTATAAACAGGAATTCAAGCTCTTGTTAAATCAGTTTTCATTTTTTCCCACTTGGTTTATTAACAATACATCCACACAATGTGTAATAAACTGCATGTTGGCACCCACCTGCTGGGGGATTATATGTCCTTCCCTCACATGGACGTTGATGGTGTCCAGGGGGGCTGGCAGGAGCAGGTACTGACCCTTACTGTAGAAAGGCTGACCCTAGAGGGCACAACACATATTATTTTACAATTTAAGCTTGAAATACTGAGGACACTTGCAAAAGACAGGGTAGGACAACACTAAAACCATACGTTTTATAATCGCTTCTTTATTTAATATAACATTATACCGTTACTTTCCTTTCACAAAATGAACCACAACACTAACAATAAGGAAGATCTTGGATAGATATTATTGAGAACTGTTTTGTTAAATCATACCATATAAAATAATTTCAAAACAAGTTTAAATTGTATTTTTAAATGCAAGGTTATTCAAGTGTGCTGAAAGTATCTCAGTATATATTTTAATCTGCTTTTTACCTCACCGTTCTAATCCTTTAGTTTTATAAAAAGCTTTCTACGGTTGCAAACTAGCAGTCTCTATGAACACTATGTTATCGGATAGCTGTTTAAAGTCTGTCTCTGTTCCTATCAAATGAACCATAAATAATAAATAAATGACCCGATCCAGAAAGGAAAAAGGCAAACACTTAAGTCACGTGTTACTACAGAAAACCTCAAACAAAGTCTTTGACAGCACACAAACAAAAAATGTATTGAAGTTGAGCTCACATTGTGCAGACTGTACCAAGTGGCAGGGGGCAGGTAAGCAGCCAGCTCTTCTGCCCCCCGCTCTAAAACTGGGCTGATGAGAAGGGAACTCCCCCAAAGGAACTGTCGGTCTATGGTCTGACAGTTAGGGTCAGTGGGAAACCTAAGGAGGTAGATAAGGAAGAAAGAGAAAGATAATGTCATAGAAACCGAACTATGTTGTCTTGTGTTGACAATAGGGAATCCAGAGGAGAAGACACATACTCCACGAAGAGTGGCCTGGCTACAGTGTCAGCAGAGGTGTGCGCATGATGGAAGAGTGTGTAGAGGAAAGGGAGAAGGGAGTAACGAAGGTTCAATGCACTCCGCATGGCTGCCTGGGCCTTCTGCCCAAAAACATAGGGCTCCTGAGGCTGGGGGACACATAGAAACACACAGACAATGAGAAGATATAGAGTTACATCTATTCATAATACATGAAACTGATGGACTGCTCTAGACACAGTGGAAACACATTCAAGGCAAATTCTGACATCTTTAAAAACATTTAACATAAACAAAGTTAACTTAATGATTTGATGGTGTTTTTATGAATTGTCCTGTTTCCAGAAAAAGCGCTCAATAAATAAAAAATGCATTAATGAAGCACACCAGTTAACAAACTGATATAAACATTCACTGAGAACAAAAGCAGTGTCTCTGTCTCACAGCGTTTGGCTTGTCATTGTGGTTCCTCATAAATGGGTAGAAGGCCCCGAGCTGCATCCAGCGTACACACAATTCCTCAGTGGTGTTCCCGCCAAAACCACAGATGTCCGCCCCCACGAGGGGAACCCCGAACAGGCCGAAGTGCAGCACAGCTAGAGGGGGAATAGGTTCAAAAGGTCAATCAATCTGTGACTACATCAAACAAGATTTAAAAATAATGTCTACAACATACAGATCCCCCATAAGGCCAATATCCCACTGAATAATCACATTCATGCCAACATCAGTGAGAGTGTAAAAACACAATTTAATGAATTTTCAAAAGCTACATGTCCTCACCAGGGATGGAGTATCGGAGCTGCTCCCAGTCACTCCGGACGTCTCCTGTCCAGACTCCAGAGAAGCGTCCGATGCCAGGGAAGGAGGAGCGAGACAAGACGAAGGGTCTCTTTCCTCGTACCTTCATGAGAGCGCTGCAGAAAGCAACCATCACCGGGATGAATACAGAACAAAAAACAAAAGAAAAAAGAAAAACGTGGCCTAAATATTCTTTGGTGACCTCCAATATATGTCTTTCAATAGTTATATGCATGTTCTCAAAGAAAGGCTGTCTTTCTATTCATTCATTTTAAACTAGCTAAACAAATACTCTGGCGACCATGCAAGTGCAGTTTGAATTTGAATGAGTTATATAGCTTTAGCTCTACTAAAAGATAAAACATGAATAACGATCTTTTCAATTTGTCAAGATATTACCTTTTTTGTTAAATGTGTTAACATTGTCCTTTTAGAGCAGATGTCTTCCATAAAATGGCCATTATTACCCTTTTTGCTGCTATTCCCGCACTGTGTAACTCAAAGATAAATAAAGTGGAAACATTTGTTTTGTGCCCTCAACCTGCATTTTTTTTTAAATAGCCAGCAGGGGGCAATGCCTCTCTTTGCAAAAAGAAGTCAATGAGATCAAATTACCCACTTCAATTATTACCCCAGGAAACATATTAAACACGAGTTAAAAATCTTAAAAGGCTAGTTTCACACTGATACAAGATTAACATACTTCTATCGGTGGATAGATATGTAAATTGTAATCCCTGTAATTGTTGCTGTATGATGTCCTTTTGTTGTTCTGTTGTTTATGTTTTTATGTCTTCATGTGGAACCTACTGCTGCAGGTCTCCCTTGAAAAAGAGATCAATGATCTCAATGGGATTTCACCTGGATAAATAAAGGTTTTGAATTGAATTGAATACTTCATACTGATATACATTTTGTAAATGAGAGGTAATTAGATTATAAAGACTACGATGGAGACAGCCAAATGGATAGGTGGAGGCTTCAATGGGTGATGTTACAGTGACTCTGTCCCCTTGTCCTTTACCTGCAAAACTAGCTCGTCAAAATGCATCAGCACCACTGCATGGTCTCACCTGTGAGTGGCAGAGGCCTCCGTCAGTCCGTACATATTGTGCAGGTTGTAGTGAGTGGACAGCTTCTGCTGGGCCGAAAGACAAATAGTTCCCGAGTTCAACTTGCCTCCAACAACTCCTGTTTGTATAAAAGTCAGGGAGACACACAGGCAAAAATGAATGCAACATATTCTGCCATCAGTTATGCATTTATAGTTATTTGGATGGTGTCTTGTACAATATTCACACATCTACTTCAATGTATAAACTGACTACAAATGCCTTGAAAAGTACTCTAAATAAAAATGTAATGAATTATTATTATTATTAAATGTAAATGTATAAAGTCTGTATTAATTTCCTGCTAGTAACACTGATCCAATACACTTACTGGGTGTGTAGGGCGGGTTCTCAAGGTCACTGTCAGGACAGCCCTCCACTGAGCCCTGCACAAAACTGGATGGTTCATTCATATCCTGGGTGGAGCACAGGGGAAATACAATATTATTTTCTTTATGTGATTTTAAGGTGCACACAAACCAATCCACAGCATGCCTCAGAACAGAAAACCTGATATAACTGATGTCTAAGTGATAGTATCTGTGGCAAAATAAACGGTGGACCGTTTGTTTAAAGAGAACAAATTATGCTCATTTTCAGGTTTCATAGTTATATTTTGTGCCTCTACTGTGACATGTTTCCATGCTTTAATGTTCAAAAAGGTCTTTATTTTACTCATACTGCCTGTACTGCAGCACCTATTTTCACCCTCTGTCTGAAACCAGAGCCCAGTCTGCTGTGATTCGTTAACTCCCTCTGGCATGAACTTTGTGATTAAGCCTCTGCAGACTATTTACACGAACAAAAACCTATATAACACACTACAGGAAAGGGTAAACCCCAAAAATCATACTAGGGCCCCTTTAAATACTCACAATCCATAGACCATCCACAGGAACTTTAGAATGAAAATCTCTGATGCAGTCCTCCCACCAGCGTCCGGTCTCTGGGTTGGTGAAGTCGGGGAAGGCTGTGGGGCCTGGCCAAACCTAGATACACAATATATACATTTGCATGACATACACACATGAAAATCAGACAGAGAAACATGCATCCCCAGAAAAAAGTCTAACCTTCCCTATCAGGATTTGTCCTGTAGAATTTTTTATGAAGACGTCTCGTTTCAGCCCATCATCAAACGGTGGGTAAGTGCCAGGGGGGCTTCTGCTGCTGATCCCAGGGTCCTGAGACGGAAATAATACGCATGACTGACAAGTTAAGAACGTTTTGCTGCCATCTACTGAAAAATAACTGTAATCAGTAATGATTACTTGTGCGTACATCGAGATTTTCACTATACCAAAACAATCAAAATAACTGATGCATGTGCTAAAGTATTGATTCATAGTTAAATCAGCATTAATAGTTGGTGAGTTATTTAAACTTAAATATGTCACACCAGGATAAGGATGTATTTCATGCCACTCCTATGGAACTCGTCAACCATCTGTGGGAGGTCTCCAAATCGCCACGGGTCAAATGTGAACACCCTGCGTTTATTTGCATAGTCCAGATCATTCCACTGCACATCCTGGTGAAAGAAAAAGAAAATAATCTCAATTGGACGTCAGTATTGTAAGTATCTGAAGACGTTACAGCAGTTGGACTGATTAATTCAGTGATCATAATAATGTGAACATCATACTGTAAATGCACATATATTGGAAAATGTTCGGTGAGCTGTAATAATTACTTTAATTTAAGAGAACTTTACCATGGGAAACTTAGCATTGTGCATGCGCTGTGCAACATGCCGGGTTGTATTAGATGTCGTGTAACCCCAGCGACACAGATGAAAGCCCAACGACCAATAAGGAGGCATCATAGGATAGCCTGGTGATAGATAAATGGTAACAGGTAAACACATTAAGTTGCCTAAATCTACACTTATATCTTGCTAGTGTGTGTATACACCTATTTGTTTTGCCCCCTGAAGATGTGTTTCTGAATGTGAACACTGTAAAGACGTACCAATGACCTGAAGGTACTGTCGTATAACACTTTGAGGATCAGGACCCACAAAAACGTACAGGTCCAGGACTCCACCGATAGCCACCCATGTGAGAGCAGGGGTCGGCTGCAACATCACCTCTGCAGAGACATTTGGAAAGATATTCAGCAATAATTATTATTCCTGAATTGTTTGGTATGGACAAAAAAGGGGCAGTGGAACATGAACATTCAGATAGGTACCGATTGCATTGCTGTTGAGAAGGAAAGCTCCATGTGCCAAGCCGTCCTCTTCCTGGACTATGTAGAATGGGTGGGAGCCATAGAGGTTAGCATCAGCCTGTAGAGAAAGACAAGTGTCAACATTAACAACTTGATCACACAACAGACAAAGAGGGAGTAAATGACAAAAGCTTGACCCTCTACAGGGGTGTCCAAACTTTTTTCACCGAGGGCCACACACAGAAAAATATACGAAGGGCTGGGCCGCTCACTAGAGATATATTGCCTCATAAGTTCAGTTATAAGTTAAAATCAATCAAATGTAGGTAAATGATGCTTGTGAGTGTTGGCAGCTCATCCCTTAAAACAGAAGCCTCAGATTGATTATAATAAGGAGAAATAGGAAGGGTGTTCATTTCAAGCTTGTTATGGAAATAAGTCATTGGGCTTTTCTCTTATCAACGAAGATTTGTTAGAAAATGTTTCCAACTTTAATTTACTGAATGTATTTGAAAAGTTATCTTAAATATGAACACAGAAAATACTGTGTAATATATGTTTACATTTCTATTTAAGAAGTACAATATAAGACAAGCACAAGTTTCATTTGTGGGCCATTTTCCATTATACTTTTTGAATTAGCTGAGGACCGATTCAAAATGGTCCGCGAGCCGTAGTTTCGACACCCCTGCTCTACAAGGACAGCTTGATTTTCAAAATATCCAAATAATTAGAGACATTACAATTTATTATTAATTATAAAGGGGCCGATTATATTTGTGCTCGAAGAGGGTAAACTTTCCATTTCACCATCATTAGAGAAAAATAAACAAAGAAGAAATATATTATTTTCCCGTTTCAGAAGTTGCTTTTTCTTCTTTTGACCCCTTCAGACTTGTGTTTTGAACCACTGCAAATGACTCACGTGGGGCGCCATGTCTCTGTTCCAGAGAGTGACAGAGGTCCAGTTCAGGTCCAGGAGGAGGGGGGTGTAATGCTCCCCGAGGCCGGACACAAGGGAAGAGGCCAGCGTGGTGGACAGCTGCAGGTACTGGTCAGCAAACAGCAGAGGAGCAACCGTGGTATTCATGCTGGACAGGCGGGGCACAGAGAACAAACACACATGCACTTCATGAAAATCTTGATTAGGGAAAACACCTCGCTGCTCATTTTGTGCAGTTGTGTTATCCATGAGTGATAAGACTAAATGAGATAAAAGAACCCTCTGTGACCCAGCCTCTCAATATAAATAGTGGAAATAAATACACTCTCTGGTCACTATTATGTATATCTTTACAATCTAATGGAAACAAGATAGTTCATATAGTTCAACACCGGGGCGACTGTGGCTGTGAGGGAGTGTGGTCGTCTTTCAACCAGAAGGTTGTGGGTTCGATCCCAGCCCATGCAGTCAACATGTCGATGTATCCTTGGGCAAGATACTTAACCCTGAGTTGCTCCCGATGGCATGGCCAACGGTGTGTGAATGTGTGTGAATGTTAGGTCCTAGAGTAAGGTACAGTGCTCTGTATGAATGGGTGTGAATGGGTGAATGACATGTAGTATGTAAAGCGCTTTGAGGGGTCTTAAAGACTGGATAAAGCGCTATATAAGTACAGTCCATTTACCATTTACCGGCAAAGTACAACATAGGGCGCAACACACTAATGAAAGCACACTGTGTTCCTTTGTTACAAATGATAGAAAACACAGACTTAGATAAATATACTTAAATAATGTAAAATAAAAAAAACAATATTTACTGAAATGTATAAGGAAGTGATCATACTACATGTAGAAAATATGACTATAATGGTGGGAAAAGGTATAATATGACTAAGTGTGAGTAAGTAGGATCTTTATATTAATGATTAGTAAGGCTTTATAGATGGTTTCTATGACGGCAGCTAAAAAATGCAAAAAATATTAAAACAGAATAGAGATACTCACATAACCCTTCCATTAGATTTCCGGCGCACTATGAAGCCAAATGGCTCCGCCTGGTATTCAGTGGTATAGAGAACATCCTGGGTATCAGCTGGGCTCTGAGGAACACCAGCTGGGAGCTTAACCTCATATCGCTGAGATGATGGGTCCTTAAACTTGTGAGAAAACAAATATAATTTCAGTTTTTTCCAAGGCAGAATTGTAGAGGGTCTAATCCCTTGATCTCATACATATTAATAAATAAATAAAGGTTATTATGGACTCACCCGTTGTAACAAGCCTATCTTGGCATACAACACAAAACCTATTCATGTAAGCCAGATTCAGAGTGCTTTTTAAACAACGCAATTAAAAAAAAAAGAATAAAAAAAGTATATATAAAATACTATATAAAAAATAGTTCACAATCAGATCTTTAGACCTTATTTGTCTACAACAAATTACTCACAAATGAATGCACTACATAATACTAGAGAAGTCCAGGTGGTACAGTCCATTTCGGTTTCTTTTCCAGACTTTTTAGACAATGTGAGCAAATGTAAACAGATACAAAATGTAACAACCTTACCTATTTTTTTATATCTGAATTTTTAATGGTTTTGGTGAGGCATTTCATGGAAAATCAATTCTGTTAAATCATAACAATATGTGTAATGCAAATGAAAAGTAAAATCCCTTTCCATGTTGCCTTTTTAAACTCAAACTACATTAGCCTACAGTCATCTATACTTAAAATGTAAATCAACCCTATGGGCACTGCAACATGTCCATCATCTCATGTTTTACATGGACATTGGGTACTCACAGTGAGGTGTAAGCAGCCTGCAGCCTCCTCTGTCACTTCTAGGTGTAGAGTGGCAATGTCTTTGGGGAGATATGAAGGGGTGGCACGAGTCAGGGTGGCCTCCTGTCCTCGTGTGGTGGGGGTGAGAGGACCCATTTTGTAGCCAGGGTACAAACTGGGGTAGAAGCACCAAGGTGGTCCTGCAGAGTGAGGCAGGGGGGCATAGCAGCAGCCCCTCTCTTCACACTCTCTCTGGGTGAGCAGCCTGTCCCTGGCACAGTCAAACCGACTCTCTGGGGCCAGGGTGCATTTATCAGCTCTGGATATAACAGTCCTTGTTTCTACTGACTTGTTCTGTGGTTTTGCTGGATAATAATAACCAAGTATTGTATGTGCTTCAGTGTGCTGAGCAGAAACTGATCTAACCAGTCTGTTCTGATGAATAGACAAGTGGTTGGTGTAAAAACATAAAAAGGTAAAGAGCAGCAGGAGCACAGCTGCAGTAAAGTGAGAAAGCAGACCCATACTCATCAGAGATGTGAGGCGACAGTGCACTCAAGCTCTGCTGCTATACACACCTTGTGCTCCGTATGGTGTAAATAACAGAGGTGGAAAAAGTATTTAGATCTTATACTTAAGTAAAAGTAGAAGTACCAGGGTGTAGGAATACTCTGTTACAAGTAAAAGTCCTGCATTCAAAATACAATTTCAGTAAAAGTACAAAACTATTAGCATCAAAATATGCTTAAAGTACAGGAAGTAACAGTAGCTACTCATTAAACAGATTGGCCCATTTCAGAATAATATCAATAATATGTTTTGATTATAATTATTGATGCATTAAATTGTTCTCAAAGCTGCGGTGGAGCTAGTTGTAATTACTTGTTATACTGCAGAGTAGCTTGTGAATGTTACTCCATGTATAAATAAAGTGTTATTTAAGTGTTGATTATAGTTCACGAAATCAATCCAAATCTGTAACTAAATGTATTAAATTAATCTAGTGAAGTAAAAGTACAAGATTTGACTCTGAATTGTAGTGGGGTAGAAACAAAAAGTAACAAATCGTTTAAATACTTAAGTAAAGTACAAGAACTTCAACATTGTACTGAGGTACAGAACTTGAGTAAATATACTCAGTCACTTTGCACCACTGGTAAATATTTAATAGTAGAGTAAGTTGTAACTATCACAGACAGCTGTCATGAATGTATAGCAGATAATCACTTACACTCACAGTTGTGTTCATTTTGTGGGCGTTGAGCTGTTGCTCATTGGCTCTGTGGCCGCTGGATTTGTTAGCTGTGAGCTAACATTTATCTATCGAGCAGTTCAGTGTCGGAGCTATTAATATTAAGCATGTGCTTCCCAGCAAACTGCGTGCGCGTCCTCGTCCTGTAGCAAAAACATGTTGTTTTGCAAGACAGCGGACAAGCAGTATTTTAGTGAAATCATTTGTTTTGTAGAAGAGTAAACACGGCTACAATACAACTACGGCAAGCATAGAAGGACAAAAGTTCCAAAACTTCTGCTGCTACTGCTGCTGAAAACTTTTTTCGCTTTTATTTTTATGTGAATTAACAAAAACGACATAAAACAAAAACGTTTCAAAAATGGAAAGAACATGCATAGGCTAGAACAACAAAAGCTACTATCGTTATTTGAACCAAGTGAAAACATTAATGTAGGTAGATTTTCATTATTATTTTGGTAATATTGTTTTGTGTTTGTGGATCAATCTAAAAAATGCTGTCTGAAACATCTTTATAATTTAGCCCTACTTTTTAAAATAATTCGATTCTTATAAAAATGGAAATAAAATGTGCCTTTAGTCATTAATAAAACTGTTTGATGAACCAAAAACACTTGATGTAACAAAAATCTGGTAACCATGCACGGTCAAATACAATTACATACCCCATGACTTGCTGTTTATTACTGAAATCACACCCAATAACATTGAAATGTTTTATTGATATCCTAATATGTCACTCGCCTTTAATTATGAAATACCTAGGAAGTGATGTTTTTATACTCATTCGATTGCTAATGTATATATTCTGTACTGACTGACACATTTGTCCCAAAGACGGGTCTACTACAGAATACTACAACATCAGGGAGCCATTTTGGTTTCAGGTTATTTGAAAGCCACATAATTTAACTCCAACATAACTAATATCACAATGAAGGGATGAACAGACAACACTCTGAATTAAACAAAATCAAGCTCTAGCAATTATGGCCTGGACCTTCTGGACTTCGAGCCGTGGCTGAACCAGTCTCTGAGGTCCTGCCTGACTCTCATCATACTACTTCCCTGATGGCTCCCACAGGATTGTTGACATCCTTGTGGATTCATCTTCTTATTACAGACACATGCATTTCCAAACATTTGGTCTACCTACGCTGAAAAATGTATTATCTCTTCGATTTACACACGGCATCTATTGCACGTCTGTCCGTCCTGGGAGAGGGATCCCTCCTCTGTTGCTCTCCCTGAGGTTTCTCCCATTTTCCCCTTTAAACTGTGGGGTTTTCTCTGGAAGTTTTTCCTTGTACGATGCGAGGGTCTAAGGACAGAGGGTGTCGTATTGTCATACTGATATTCTGTACAAACTGTGAAGTCCACTGAGACAAATGTAACATTTGTGATATTGGGCTATATAAATAAACATTGATTGATTGATGGCCAACTAACTTTGGTTTAACCATACATAAATAATTTAACTGTTGACATTTCAGAGTTGTCATTTTGTCCCTTTCTAGAGTTATTCATATTTGTTATATTATCTCCACACTATGCAGCAGTTGCCAAAAATATTCAAGTTCTTTGACAGTGTGAAAATGAGTAGTCCAATCTCTTCATATTAAGTGTCAATTTGTGTGAATAGGGCCTTACAATTGTCTTATAAAGTCTGCCAGTTGGTAAATCAATATCTTGTTAAAGACTATGAGTCTGATATTTAAAGGTTGTTCAAAGATTGACTGCAAAAACAAAAAAATAAGGTTAAAACGTTTATTGTATTCAGCTAAATGTTTCAAATGTATGGAAGAACACCAATCACAACAGTCAAATATTTCTTCAGTATCATAAACCAAGCATTTAATGCAAAAAACAAAAACAAAAAAACATTCAATAGTAAGTACAGGTAGGGGCTTAGGCTACAACGCTTTTAATACAAGAAGAAAATAAAAATATATATAAAAATATAGGAAAACAAGTACAGGTTGTTGCCGGACTTGCTCATTTTATGGACAGGTAGGGATTTTTACACTTTAATACATGTGTTTCTGTTGCATATCAATACGAGTACACATTATTTTCCAACTGTACATAATCCTGCCGTTTAGCCCTTAATACATGATTTGTTAAAACACTGATACAATTCCCATTAGATATATTTAATCCCTTTCTGGGTTGTATTCTGAAAAATATAAAAGAGCGAGTATAAGCCATCATGATAAAGAAGGCAATATTGTTGAGGAAAGGTTGACACTTTGAACATCAATTCAACTTTTTTCTGTCTAGCAGCAATAAAGTTAGCAAAATCCAGGCACACATCCTCACTTGAGATGCATTCGAAATACATCTTGATGCCAGTTGTGAATTGCAGTTCTGGAACTACAAACAATCTGAAAATAATGGGATACTAGATACAAGTCTACACGGGGACAACACAGGTTCCCATTAGTGAAGCATTGAGCTGTAGAGTAGCAAAAACAGTTTGCATTGTTATTACCCCAGGAATCCAGTCAATCATGGCATAGTCAATGTTCATACATACTGTATACAACATCGTTTTTTTCAAATGCCACTTGAGCTGTATTTTGTAGTACATGTCGCTAAGTATAAGATAGAAAAAATCATTATAAAACTTTCTTAGAAAAAAAAAAAAATCATTGATAATAACAGTTTAATTGTTGTCTTTGACAAATATTGCCTATACTTGGCAAACTATGGTAAGAGCCTTGTTGTGTTTGAATAGATAAGATACTCGGCCAAATGCTTTAGCAATATACTGCCAAGCCCTATATGACAGGATCATTGTTTATTGAACAATTATTGTTTCACAACAATGTTGTAGGCAACAGGGCCTCGGAAGGTAAACCCCAGGTAGAATGTGATGTTTTCATTACTGTGAGGCACTGAAGGAACATGAAGAGGCAGGATATGGAACTTCTTTTTCCGTGGGCCGTCGAGGTACACCACTCCATCTTCAGTCCATCCGGAAACACGTTTCAGCATTGTGGCAATCTCAGGCTTTTTCCATGCTTCGACCCTGAACCACTTCATGCGTTTTTCAGACGCAGAGAACAGCTTTGTGACTCTATCAAACTTTTTCTTGTGGACAAATTTATCCAATCCATTCCCACTGCCAAGTAAAAAATGGGTGTAAAGCCTTCTCTTTCGCTGAAGAATGTCCTTCATCTTGATCCAGTACCCTTTTTCCAGGTGTTCAACAGCTGATTGAACAATCTCATATTTGGTTTCTTTCTCCACATCTGTGTCATGATCCTCTGGCCAGAACAGCAATGTAAGCCAGAACAGTGCATGTGTTAAACATTTCCTTTTATCATTTGGGAACTGATGACAAAGTGCCTGCAGATCTTTCAGAGGAGCTATATGTTGGTTATGTGGTGACAGGCAGTTCAGAGTGATGTGGGCCGTGATGTAATTGACAATATCCATTTGACCGAATTTGGCTTTTATTGGATTGCTGGGGTAGAGAGAAATTATTTTCTCTAGAAGAGGTACTGCCTCCCTCTGGTCAGTTAGCTTGGAGAGGACTGATGTTATGTTACCACCACCAAGCTGACAGATGAGCATGCGTTTTTGGAAAGAGGTTAGATTGGCAGGGATTGATTCCCTGTCAAGTGCAGTAACATCAGCTTCACTGAAGTACTTTCCATACTCTGAAGATTTTTCTGTTAACCATTTCAGTGGATTACTTAACATCCCCTCAGGACATTCAGGGGTCTCTTCTCCATCTAAATCGATGTCCGTCTGGAAGTAACTGAGGTCTTCTGAGATCCATTCCAAGGCATCTTGTGTTGTCTTGTGAAGTTGTTTCAAACCGATATGAAAGGGTTGCCATGCATCTTCAACTTCCTCAGGAATGTAATCTGTTAACAGGTACTTCATACACTCTGAATGGCCATTTGCTTGGTTTGAAAACACTAGTGATGAAGAGATCAGTTTGAGCAAGCTGCATGCAACCTCCACTTCAGAAACATACCCTGAGCTGTTATGGGTACCCTTTTCAGCAACAGCTGCTTTTTCACACTCTTGAAAACACTTCACAGCCTTCAGTGCAGTCTCCACAGCATCTGCTATTTGTTCTGCTGTCTTTGGTTTATTTTCAATAGCTTTGTGTTTAGCTTGGAACCATTTTTTGTACACCTGCCCCTTTGTGTCGAGTATGTAGGAGTTGTTTGGCAGCTGTTTGGCTGCTGTCTCCGCCCACTGTTTTGCATCTTCAAACCTTTCATAAGTATAATGAAGACGAGCGACTTGTTGTGCATAGAGTGGATCTTGACCGAAACGATCGAATGCTTCTTTGAGTAACTCAATTGCTTTGTCTGGGCTTTTCTCCTTTTCACAAACATGCTCAATCAGAGGAGCAAACAAACTATTAGTTTTATCCCCTTTGCTTATTCTGGCTCGCCTTAAGAAAAGTGCTCTCAAAAACAACATATATCCGTCCCTTCCAAATCTGTGCTCAAAAAGCACCTTCTCATAGAGCAAATCCATTGCTAAACTGCTTTGGGTCTGTTGGTTCTCCAAAAGTTGTTGGAGAATTTCCTTTGCAACCAGTGGATGAATGATTCTGATTGATTCAATGTGTGTCTTGTCATCTTTAAGATGCAAGAAGACTAGTTTAGCCTGATCACTGAGTGATTTCTCAAACCCATGCTGGCGAAACCTTTCCAAGTAAATGGTAAAGTTAAGCAAAGCCTGACAATGGGACTGAGAGATGAAGGAGTTTTGGACATAAGTGTTCAGCAGTGCAACATAGCAAATGAGGCGTGTGACCACAGCCTGACGGTCAATGCCTTGAAGCAAATGTTCCACAAAGTGTTGAACATATTCATCACTGAATCCTTCGCTCATCAGAACAAATGTCAAGATGAATTCAGGCGCATATCGTTCTTCAAGTACCTCACGTTTTCCAGCAAACTTTCTTTTCTCTTTATCACTCAGTTTGTGGGTGACAGACACATTCTGTAATGGAGACTCCGTGCACTTATTCTCTGGATCATGGGATCGTCTGCAGCTCAACAAAATGAAACATAGGGTTCCACATTGGATTCTTTTGGTGTTGGTGGCAACTTCAAATTCATTCCTAAGATCATCTAGATATTCTTTGTCTGAGTCTTCAATTAGAAGAAGCACAGGAAGACATGTCTGTGGATCTTTTTCTTCATATTCTCTTAGCTCAACTGCATGTTGCGCAACAAGACCAGCTGCATATGAAGGCTTCACAACTGCACACCTTAGATCTTTCCTGGTGTTCCAAAGTACTTGTCTTGCCACAGTGCTTCCACCACTCCCTGGATGATGGTAGATGTTTATACTGTTCACCGGAGACTGATCTGTTTTTCGTTTCAAAGCGTCATTGAGAAGTTTGGAAACATCCTTATAAGCATCTCTTTCAATAACCTCTCCAACGTACTTCTGTTCAGCAAGCCAGAAATTCAACCACTTTACTATCCCACCACGGTAAAACTGCGCTTCAATGTTTGCTTTTTCTTCATCAATGAATTCTTTGCTTGTTTCATTGCAATGATCGACACTCAGAATTTCCAGGGAATACATCTGTTCCTCTATGAGTGTTTCAAGAAGACATGTCCCTTTCACAAAGACTGGCAAGCGTTTGCTGATAAGTGTGTTTAAGGGTTGTATTTGCTGGAGAGTTGAATCAATGTGACTCATCTTCATCCCGACGACACTGGAGTTGTCCACAGTTTCTGTTCCACATGACCCCTCTGCAAAGCTTTGCCACTTCTGGAAGTTTTTCTCTGATTCACAGATGCAGATGATGTCTTCATGGCCTTCCATGTCTGTGAAAAACTCGTAGAAGGTGTGCAAGAGAGGTTTCTCTACTGGTGATGTGAGAAGAAAAATGACCTGGAACGCCCCTTTTGGCAAGATTTGTTTACAGATCAAAGACACAGATTCCCGCAGGAAAGTCATTTTTGTCTTTATCCAAGTCATCTCATCACATGGAGTTTCATTTCCTTTGAAGTCAGAACGGCCGTTACAAAAGATCCAGCTAGTTTGGTCAAACAGATGCAAGTGGCTTGTGAATTCTTTGATGCTCATGTCACCAGATAACCTATAGCTCTGCAGAGAATGCATGTTTGCAGTGTGATGCTGAAGGTATTTACTGCAAAGACCTGATGTCTTTGACTCTGGGTCAAAGTCAAACACACAGAACACGTTCATGTTAAGCAGCCAATCAATATGGCAAAGGTCATTTGGGCTGAATTTGTTTGTGACAAATATGAACCATTTTTCCTTTTCAATTAATTTCTTCCCACTGGTCATTAGCACTTTGAGTTTCCTTCCGAGATCTTGGCAGAAGTCTGGGGCACTGAGGTACAGATTTTGTTCTGCCTCTTCTCTTTGAGCATCCCGATCTTGGACTCGCTGGTAAAAATCACTTTGGTCTTTGTCATTCACTGGCTCTGTTTTCGAACCAACCCTCCGCAGAATTGCTTCTTTCTCAAATTCTACTTTGTTGGTTGACTCTTTGAAGTTTGGGAGACGGACTGCATACACCTTGCTCTTAACAATACTTATTGAAGGCACAATGTCAACTTCTACCACATACCTCTTCTCCGTACTTTCTCGATCCAAAACCTCAATGAACCTTGGTGGCCGCACACATTGGCGAACATGCTCCTTGTCACAGGAGATACTCCTCTCAATGTAGTCCAAAGCATCCACATAAATGTCTTTCTCTTGTACAGCGATACCAATTATTTCACCATGCACGTATCCTGCATCCTCCTTGCTATCCATTACGCCAAAGTGTATTGTGCCATTTGTTCTGATATTCATACAGCCAGTTCCAAATTTAAGGACCTCTTTGGCAAACTTAGCTTGTAGTCTTGTGCGATCCAATGTAGAGGCTTTAGATAAAGACTTAAACTCATGGCATGGAGATGTTAGATTAAAAGCACCCGATTCAGGTTGCAGGACTCTGTTCTTGACATATATGAAATCAATCTCTTCTTGATCGAATGGTCTTGGTCTGCAGTCTTCCTTTGAAGTCAGGACACATTGCTCTTGAGCAGTTTGTCTCTCGACAGAGTCCTCTGTATTTCTTACAGAAGTCTGTGCTGGATGACCTTGAACTGCTTTTTGATGAATGTTTTGCTTGTCCTCCGTGTTTTTACCGGGGTTTGGCTTAATCTTCTCTTGAGGTTTTTGCTTTGAGTTGATGAGCTCATTTCTCTTTTGAATTATCAAATGAGCAGGCCCTGACTTCATGCATATGTTTGTCTTCAAAAAGTCCTCATCCAGTGTAAGAAGGATTTGTCCATTTACTTCTTCCTCATAAAGCTTTTCTATGTACGGCTCCTTCACTCCAATGGATCTAAGCCAGGTGCTTACTTCGGATTCAGTCCAATCATTGGGTGACGGTTTGAGTTCGTCAGCTGTATAGAGTGGAAAGGCAGAAAAAAGTAATAGGTTTATTTATAAATAACAGAATTCGAAAGGAATATATTTCCCTTTCAAACTTCAAGGATATACAGAATGCACATTTTAATTTTAATAACATGTCATGTAGCTGAAACTTTTATCCAAAGTGACTTAAAAACACTTTTATACCGTAAACATACAATTGTGGGTTAAGTGTCTTGCCCAAGGACATTTTGACACGTTGAAGGCAGGGGCTGGGGATTGAACAACTGACCCTTCGATTGGTAGATGCTCGTTTAGCAGACAGATTAAAAAGGGGAATTTGTCAACAAATCCTGTGAAGGTCCAAATGAAGAATGTGTAATCTCCCTGTATCTCACGTTCTCAATTCTGTGATGAGTGCTCAAACATTCTTCTTTATACCATACACCTATCAGGGCTTTGTGACCTAGTCAGATCAAGACGTTGACTTGGCCAGATGTATAGGGACTTAGTTCCCTTACAGCAAGTCTCTGCAGGCTGGGTTGATCAGATACACATGGCCCTAGCTTCTAGCCACCTGGTTTCCTAATTCACACCATTAGTCTCGAGCAATTGTCAGTTTTGATACACTGTTGAGGGCTCAGTATCTACAGAATGCAATTGGCTCAAGATGAGAGGTATAGAGATTGCATTATTCCACTCCAGGAAAGGTAGTCAACCTACATTTTGTGTTAAAGCTGCACAAATGGAACCCAGCAACAATCAGAGAACAAAATACATTCAGTTTATTAAAATCCTATTTAAAAACATAGTTAGCGAGGAATCAGCTCTGTCAACACTGAAATAATCTACTGCTCTTTACAACCTCTGTCTGTCTGTACTGCCTGTGCCTGTTGCTATTTTCCTGCTATTTAATATGTATGTTTTGTTTAATTTTTTTCATGAGCATTTACAGTATTGTATGTTGCATGTTTTTTCTGATTGTATTTACTTTTTATTTTAAATTAAATGTGTTTTTAGGGTGACTCACAACATCTGTCCAGGGACTACAGAGGAAAAATATCCTCTTGGCTAACTGACACATTAACTGAAATGTGTGTTAATGAGCACTGTCCCTTTTGAAATAAAAAAGTCACTGTCAATACTTGAGCAGCATGCATTATTAGGAATTACAATTTATATATATATATATATATATATATATATATGTATATATATATGTTNAGAGATGTCACATGTCAAAATCGAACAAGGGGGGCCAGAGATAAGGAAAATCCACCCAAATGGCCCCATAAGAGGTTTTTTTTGCTAAACCTCACTAAAAAGGTCAAATATCACTTGTTTTGCATCAATCTTGATACAGGGTACTTATTATATGTTGTACTTTGGATTCCTAAAGCTTTTAGTCTACTAACACATCATCCAAGGTAGTTTTCAAAAAAAATTACAGTTTTTTACCATGTTCAATCTGAATTTTCTTTCAAATAAAAAACATCTATATTGATTCGGACTTTTCTACATCCATCTCACAGGTTTATAAAAAAAAAAAATTAATTTAACCCTTTTAGAAGGGAAGATATGGTCATTTGTTCTGGGAATATCATTTTCGAGCCTGAAACCTGAAAAACAGGCTTGGGGCTTATTATATATAGAAATGTGATAATAAATTAAACTTTAAATATAAAAATTATATGATTCATGATGTATCTGAGTCTAAGTTTTTTATTTTATTTACGTAATTTGAACAGTTTATTGTTGCACACAAGTATTTGATTATAATAACTAAAGGATTTATAAATCATCTATTACATTTCTACATTTGTAACACTTATAATATGTTGCTAAGCAGTCAACATGTTTTGGTTGGCTATTATAAAGTTTGAATCAATAACATGGTTAATATTTGATTTCTAGTCCGTAATGATAGAGGTTTTAAAAACATATTGCTAATCTTTCAAATAAATGCTTAATTTTATATATAAATTGTTGTAATGTGTGCAATAACAAACTGTCCACCTTGTTGTTCTCTCGCTCGTGCATGCACACAAAATGGCTCGTTTCCCACACACACACAGAGCCGAGCTTGAATGAAACACAGAGACCCAGGCCTACTTGTACTGTACTGTAGCAATCTTACTTTTCTGTGAATACAGATTATTAAGGCTGTGTTGAACATTTTCTGGGAACGTGCAGTCTGGCTCATGATGTAAAGGCTTTATTTAATCAAGCCGGGTATTTCTTAAGAACATGTTATATATAGCAAAAGGACACAAATGCTCACCTCATAGCCAATTACTACGTTGAACTTTAATGGCACTATTCTCCTTTGATTAATTGGTAGAACACACAATATCCTGTGAAACAAATGGTGCAATGCAACGTATGTTACAGTGAGGTCAAATTTTTATTAGATCTACATGAGATTTATTTTGTACCACTTTGACAAACATTTAAAAAGTGAGACAGGGATATATATTGACCAATTGATGGACACATAAATACAGTCACGGAAGGACATCAATCTACAATCACTATGATTTATGGTGAACAATTTGGTATCACTTAGATGTTTTTGTAACACCATATCCACCTTACACAATTCAATATATGGTACTTACCTCAACAGGACTCCTTTGTTGCAGAGTGAAAATAACTGGAATAAAACAGAGGTTTATTGTGGCAGTGTCCTGATGGCTTCTGGCTTAAAGATACAAATGCATTGCCCCCCACCCCCACCCCCACCTCCCTGGGTGTCCAGCTGCATCATTATATCTGTAATCAACATGGTGTATTGGCTACTCCTGAATCACTAAGACCACAATGAAAAACCTGGTTCTTCTCTATTCAAAAGAAGATTTAATATGTTGGCAATTCAACAGGCACAAAAGCCTTAAAAAGCTCTGTATGAAAGCTACACAAATCTGTGCAATTAAAAATAATGCTGCCCAGTGGATACTGGATTTTTCTAAACCAATATCAATGTTTCAGGTTTAAAGAAAAAATCAAATTAAAATATATCGGCCATTAATTTCATCCCTTTTATTTTGGTTTACCATATTCATAATGCCTGACTTTTTAATAAAAACTTTATTTACAAAAAAATGATGATTTCTTATCAACAGCAGATACTGAACAATCTTTAATAAATTAATATAAGGCGAAACTTTTGTCAGGTTATAATTGATTTGGGACAGTTTAGGGTTTTACAAATCAGACAAGACAATTTCCTCAAACATAGCTGACCCAAAAAATAGAATGATGTGTACTGTTAATATTCTGTCTGTGGACCCTATGAGAATACCATCCTGAGATGATGTCAATCTAAGGGAATATATATTCTAGTGAAACTAACTGAGGACTTAAAATGCAATCTAATGTTAGTTTCAAAAGTACTGTTATGAATCAATTATCCCATTTTTACCAAGTTAAAAGAAAGGGAAATACATGCTTGGGTAATTATTTCATGGTATCAGTTATTTTTAGAAGACATTAATCCAGACCACTTGTGCCTCAAGTGATCAATGAACAATGAAGTGCCAAATCAATAGATGTTGATAGAAGTTTCCATTGATTTTCCACTGTTCACCAAATTCTGTTGGCTTATGTTTGATCTCTCTCCATTTAGCATTCAAAAAGATCATGTTGCCAAGTGACTAAAATAAAAACGTGTATATTCAACACTTGCATACTGGGCCTGCAGGTTTTTTGTAAAGAAAACAAATGTATTGCTAGGTACATCACATGAGAGGGAATTGTTTTTAAAATGTCTTGTCATTCTTTTTTCTTTTCAAAAGAGCGGCACAGCTCATATGCTAATATTGGCTGTTATGCATAAGAGCATTTACTGCGCTGTATATATTATGAATGAAGAGGAGTTACTTGTCCAAATATGTGGATTGCATAAAGAGAGCATGGGGATCATGGGTAAAAGAGCCCTGTGGAATTGCTTTTTTATAATAGTTTTGTCGGTGGAGCTCCTGGTTGTGTTTGTGTGTTGCCTTAGTAATGTTTTATTTTGTAAGATGAGGTCATTAGCTAGGGAAATTAAGGTTCGGGTAAGATACAAATGCATTTAAACAAACAGAAGGGAGAAATGTTAACCAAAAAACATAAAACAAAAAGGCTTTTATGTATTTCTCTCTCCACCCACACCTATCAACCACCTCCTTTTCCTGGTGTGAGTGTCCAAGCAGGGGTTAAATCCATTGCACCATAAAAACGAGCTGTTCATAAAATGGAGGAATAAGAAGCAGAAATAATATTTCAAGTATGATTAGTTCATCCGCAGGGCACCTTGTGCGATTGAGAAAGGGGGTGAGAGTGGGAGGGGGTATTGTGCACGGCAAGCAGTAAATTATATCTAGCCTTTGAATGATTCCTGCAGATCCTATTACGACAGCGAGGGGGACTGGGGAATGGTGGGGGGAATGGGGCAGTTGGGAGAGAGAAAAGCAGCAGAACGAATCGGATGAATTCTGTTTCCAGCTGTCCGAATGATGGGGGAGATGGGGGAGGGTGTGTGTGTGTGTGGGGGGGGACAATAATTTGTTTTCCGCACTAAAACATAGTTATGTAGACATGCAAACATGCAGACTTCAGACACTGCTTTCTTTTGGTTTCAACTATCTCTCCCCAAATGTTACATCAAGTCCTTTTGCCAAATGGAGGAAAAACACTATCACCCATTACCACCCCTGCACTACTCCACCCTCCCTGAATATTTGAGAGGCGCTTGTCTGCCATTTGTCACTTTGACTGGTGATATAGTAGCTGATAGTGGCATTAATGTGCTGCTGCTGCAGATAGTCCTCACAGGAAAACAGAGATGTTGAATTTATTCACCCACCGCCTCAATTTTCACAATGCTTACCAAATAATGTACATCAGTCCTCTTTTTTTCTATTCACCAGTTAATGCCCTATTGTTAACTTGTGGCAGAAATAATCATCTGAAATCTTTATATAAACAATGCAAATACATCAATTATTCTAACGCAACGCCTTTTAAAGTGTCTAAAAACGAAGATCAGCATATAAAATAACACATTTAATTTTACATTGAATAACTT